TAAAAAAACCATCAATACAAGTCCTACCAAAGTAAAAAAGTATTTCGTACAAATCTACCATAAAGGAAAGGAAACCGATCTGTTTAAATATAGTTGAATGTTGTCTCCATGACATTAGAAGAGAGACTTGCGTACCGGATCCTTTTCCACAGCTCCCGTTCCTGTTCCTGCTCCACCTCCCGTTGACGTTCCTGCTACTGGCGCTGCTGCTGGAGGAGATGCCTTTGCTCTAGGGGTTTTCGATGAGGTTTTGGATTCTGCATCACCGGCATTATCATCATTGTTACCATGGTCGTTGTCAACGTTGTTCCCAGAATTCGCCATGGCCTCCTCTTTCTCTTCATGTTTATCCTCGATAACGGCAATCCTCTTATCCAGGTGGTCTATACGAATTACAGCACTGCTGACATTGCTGTTTAGCAATGCTACCGTCGTTGATAAACCATTGATTGCCATGAGGATCTCATTCGTCCTATCCTCCTTCTCCACAGCGGGCTCTTTCTTGTTGCTCTCGTTCTCTCTTTGCTTCTCTCTCTCCTGCTCCTCTCTTTCCTTCTCTCTTTCCTTCTCCTTTCTTTCTTTTCTTTCCTTTCTCTCCCTTTTCTCCTTTCTCTTTTCTTCAATTGCATCCTTTAGTAGCTTCACCGGCGAGTTAAAATCATCATCTTCTTCCTCATCCTCCTTCTTACGTTTCTTTTTCTCCTTGTTTTCGTGCTTTGTCTCTTCTTTCCTTGCCTCTCTTTCCCTTCTCCTTTTGCTTCTCGGAGTTGAATCCGTTGCTTCAGCCTCTTTCACCTTCTCTTTCTTTTTCTTCTCCACGCGTGGAGTTTCCAACTTCCTCTTCGACTATTTCGGCGTCTGAACTGTTGCAGCGCCACCTGTTGCATCGCCACCTACGTTATTGGGAGATTCCCAGAACCCCTCATCCAAGCTTCCATCCAGAATATCACATATCATGTTATGCACCTTTATATCGACGTCTACACGTCGGGGTTCACCTTCCCAGACAGGATATATTTCCTCCAAGGGCTTCACCACCATTAGATGTCTAACCCGAACCTGCCATGCCATAGAAAATGATATTAATAAATCTACCATGATATTAATAAATCTATCAAACTGAATCAAAAACTCTACCAAAATGTAAAAACTCTACCAAAATGTAAAAACTCTACCAAACTGTACAAACTCTACCAAAATGTAAAAACTCTACCAAAATGTTAAAACTCTGCCAAACTGTAAAAACTCTACCAAATGTTATATTCTACCACATTTAATAACTCTACCACAAATTGTTGTATAATAAATAACTCTACCAAACACTAAGCTATTATCAAAAAACTCTACCAACTAAATAGCTGCTAAGGTACAAGTACCTTGTGGTCCTCGGTTTCACTCTTATCCATCTCCAAAAGAGTCTCGAAAACATAACGACACCGTGATGAAGTCCACCTAAGAAGAGGAACAACCGAGTCATCTATATCGAGGCGTATTTTCCCTGCTCTCTCAGCCAATATAGGGATGCACTCATAACCCCAAACAAGCATTGCCTGTACACATCCGTGGAGAGTGTATCTTGCTCCCCCCAAGTTAGCAATCTTGAGGGAATAATTTAGTTCATGGAATCCATGACGACCCCACGGCTGTCTCTCAAAAGCTGCTTCATCCATAACTGTTTTGGCTAAAGCCAACGGGATTCGACTGTTGCGGTGAAGTCCCAATACACCAACATGCAAAATGAAAAGCAACGCCAACATCTTCTTCTTCTCATAAGTCCATGCTTGGCAAGTTTTCATCCGAGCTTCTAACTCATTCCAATTAGGGCCTTCCCCACCTCTCACTCCAATCTCGGCCCAAAATTCGGTGTGATCTATTTCCAACTTGTCATTGGGATCAATTGGGTCACAGTTTAGCCCCGTGATTTCAGCATACTCTAAGAGTGAAAATCTAACCGGGCGACCTCCAATAAGAGTCCAGAACTCATGATTCCTATCCACCTTCAGTTGGTTGCTCACAAAATACTGAACCGTCTTAGCACTCCATATGAACGAAGTCAATGCAAGCTTCAGTAGCACGCCAACTTGAGAATTATTCATGATGTCGTTGTAAATTTCATCCCCAAGGTGATCCCTGATCATCATGATGAACTCATGAAGCTTGCAGTTATGATGACAACTCTTCTTCAGCAAAGGAGATTTGCCTTCCGGGTACAATTTTTGGGGATAATCCTTTGAGCCGCTAGCTGAAGCCATGTCTGCAAACAAATAAAAACATTAAAATCTTACAAATCTACCACACATCAAAACAAATCTACCATGAACAAACACATGTCTACCAAACTCGACAACAACTATAGAATACCTACCACAAAACATTAACAAATCTACCAAAACGAACACAAATCTACCAAAAATAAAGAAAGAAATATACAACACAAATCTACCAAATAATACATAAATCTACCACACACAGAGAGACGCAAATATAAAATCGTAAGTCTACCAAACGCAATTTTAAACCCACAATCATTACAAACAAAAATTACTCACCACATATGAAAACAAATCTACCATGAACAAGTCTACCAAACTCGAAAGCAACTATAATATAAAATCTACCAAACCCGGGAGCAACTATAGTATATAACTCTACCAAATACGACCAAAAGTCTACCACACATGGAATAAATCAACCAACAATACATCAATCTACCAATACAATCTCAACAATAACTCTATCAACAATACTTTGATTATTCAAACAAGACAATGAAACGAAAACAAATCTACCTCACATAGAAAACAAATCTACCTCACATATACAAATCGACCAAATGCAACAACTACTGAAAAGTCTACCAAAAACAAATTAGAACTGAACCACTCCGACCAGAAATTACTCGCCGGAAATCGTGTAGAGTCTCTGGAAACCGTTCTCCAAAGACGGAAACCGCCGATAATAATACTTCCCTGAAAAAAATAAGAAAAGGGTTACGATTTCTGAGTAAAATCATGTGAACAGATGGTTTCTCTTCCGCCGTTAGCGCGAAACCACCGTTGACACCCAAACACAACTGTCGCGACTAAAGGCGTAGACAGTTTTCGACATAACCCCGAAAACCCAAGACAAAAACTTGTTCGAGACGAGAAATGAACCCAGATGTGAAACACTTACCAGATGAGTGGCCGAAAAACCTTTCGTCGCCGCCGAAATCGCCTTCTTCGCCGCCGAAAACCCTAAATCGCCTATAACGTCGCCGAATCGCCTATATCGTCGCCGCCGGATTAGGGTTTACAGTTTTTTTTTGTTTTGTAATTTCTAATTTTAGAATTAGGGAAATATTTGTGTATATACGTGTATATATGTGTATATACGTATGTATATAATTTGAAGTTTTTTTTTAAATTACAATGGCAATCAGGTAATAATATTGATTATTTGGACAAAATAGTATAACACCAACTTTCTAAGGTTAGTCTAGTAAGCTGATGAATATGTTAGGATAAGTTTGTCAATACATTAACCTTAAAGGTTAGTCTGAGGAATTTTTCAAAATAAAATAATATATCTATTGGTTATATCTATGATAAGATTAAAAAATTTAATATATCGATTGAATGAGTTGCGAGAGTTATAGGAGCATGGTGTTCAAACTTATAATATTGCATGGTAGCAGAATTTTATGATACATGCGTTGCATATGTTGACTACCAATGATATAAAAAGATTGGAGTCACACCAAATCTTATAGTTAACAAAGTTGTCAAAAACAATAAGCTTTATATGCGGAAGGTATAATAGATGGTAGAGATGAGGTGTTGATAGGTTGATTGATTTTCTCAATTAATGAAGTTAATTAACTCTCTCAATCTATGCACAAAATAGGTTGTTTCAGTAACACAAACAAACTAAGTCGTAGCTTCTATAGAGCTAAGTGAATCATACACTCAAATCTAAAAAAAAAACAATTTTCACAAATAAACATTTTTGAAAGACAAACAGAAATACTTAGTTTATTTCTGAATTGAAAGTGAGTTTTGACAATGGAATAAGAGGAGCTTATAAACTGCTAGAACTAGACAAGACCAAATTGTCATAAGATCCTAAAGAGCAAGAGAGATCTGCATAATTACAAAAACTAGTCGTTAGACTCTTAATGGGCAAGTCTCAGCCAACTAAGGAATATGTGATGTTGCTTTTGTATCTGGACGGATTTAAGGGATACGTGAGCTTCTATGGACCATTCTGGTCATAATAGAAGTAGTCCAAGACGCAGCAGTTTTGCTAAGATGTGAACGCATCTGTATAAGTGGTGGTGTGAAAGGATCCACCTAATCTTGAGAGTGCTGGTGCATGGGATGACCTCCTCTGAAGTCTCTGATTGGTAAATAAATTCTCTTGATCGCCAAACTTGATTTTGTGCTGAATTAAAGTGGTCGTCTTTCATACTTGCCTGGCTTGGTTTGGCTCAATTGAAGACACAGATGGATCCGCCTGATCCAAGGTGTGCTGGTGCACCTTAGAGTATTGTAGAAAACTTCTAGAAGTATCAGATTGAGAATCAGTTTCTTCGCACCAAAGTTTTTTGGTATGACTCCACAAAATGATCTTGTTTCACTTTCATGAGTGAACTCTACATGATCTGGATCTTTTTCATAGTCTCCTTCTAGACTGAAGTTAGATTCAGTCTCTTCACGCTATGATTCCTTCACATTCTTCCGTAGACCAAGTCGATCAATCGCTGCTGTCTCAGCTACAATCTGGTGGCTCTGGTTTAAGCTTATCTCTAGCATATTCTTCTCTATATTAAGAGCTTGAGTAGTCATCTCCTGGCCACGGTGGTGTCTCATGGTCAGTCTCCTCATCGGTCTTCATCTCCTTGGCCTTCATTTCCTTGGCTCCAGTTCTCTCCATAGAACTCCATTGTCTAGCTCTTGTTCTTGGAGTGATCCTCGCAAAAGAGAAAAACTTAAGCGTCAATGATTTTACACACGAGAAAAAGAATAAGTAAGATTCAACGATGACACAAAAGGTAAGAGCATCTCCATCCCTGAACCCCTCGTAGGGTTCTTAAGAATTTTTAATTAATAAATTTTGATTATTTTTAATTAATAAATCAAATTGGGTTTCTTTTTATTTTGGCTCAAAATTTTTCTTTAACCTTTCACCCAATGAGGAAGAGTCACGTGGACCAAGAACCCCACTAAATTTTTCTTTCATCCACTAACCAATTAGAAGAAGCCACGTGCTTTAATATCCCTTTCAGAGTCGGTTTTTACTTAAGGACTCTAAAAAGTAGTTTTTAAAGTTTTAAACCCTTTTCATTTATTTTGAATGCCAATTAAATGAGAATCCCACAGGTTTAGTGATAGAGATGGTCTAACAAGTTTTACGGCCACAAATTCAAAAACAAATAATTAACAATTTTTTTTTTTGATTTTTCTTAGAACTAACAATTAAAACAAAAAAGGAAAATTAACTTTTTTCTTCTTTTGAAACAATACTTAACGGTTAAAATTAGGGAGAATTGTTTTTATAATGCTAATTCAATTCAAATTTTTCTCTATAATGTTTTCTAAAAATAATTTATCTCCTTAATTTTTAAATTAATATTAACTCTGTTTTATCCTATTATTTTTTATTTATTCAATTTTATTAAACATTATTAAATTGAATTTACTAATATTAACCGACCTTATACGTCTTCGATATCAATTCGTGCTTCGTCTCTTCCACTGTTTGTTGTTTTGGTGATGATGAAAACTTTAAAACACGTTCTGTTTTTTACCTTCTCTTGGGCTCTCAAGGAGAGATTCAGAAACCCATTACATCTGAATCTTTGTGCTTCAAGTAACTTTGTAGAATCCAGTACGTATCTTACCATTCATGGGATTGGAGCTGATAGATTTTTTTTTGAATGAATGTAAAATTTATTCGAACAAAAAAAAACAGTTTCTACATCAGATGTGCAAATGTTTTAAATAAATAAATTACATCAAAGCAGAGCTACTTTTCTAGTTCGCAGACCAAAGCGAACCAATTTTGCAGTCCTTTCTCATACCTTTTGTCTCCAAGAAGTCGTATGGTGCTGAAACAATTTCTCATTCTCGTGTCTATGCTCTTGATTAAACTCTACTCTGTTGCAAGTATGGTGCCTTGTCTTCCAGCATTTCTCTCTCTCCACAATACATAGATTGTCATTTGGAACAAATATCAGATAGTAAAGCTCTGTATAGTACTCTTATATGGGCGAGATATAAGATCAGATACAGTGAACCAGTCTGTTGAGAAATCTTGCTGCAGTATCCCTCTTGTTGACTTCTCCCAGACCTGTGCCGAGAAAGGACATGAGAAGAATAGGTGATTCCGTGTTTCCCATGGGTCTCAGCATAGAACACATTCAGAAGATGCATTTTCATTCCAAACATGCATACAATCACCAGCTGTAAGCTGATTCTGCATTGCTACCCAAGCAATGAAGCCAAACTTCGGACAGTGGTGCTTAAGCCAGATACCTTTATGCCAAGCTACTATCGGAGAATGTATTCGCAACTGGTCAGATGTTGCTTTAGTACTGAACTGGGTCTTAAACTTATTTTCCTTCCATCTCCATAAAAACATATCTTTCGACTCCTCATTATATCGTAACCTGAAACTCGCAATCTCATCCTCCACCTTGTTAAGAGTTTGGATTATGTGTCTGCGTCTTCTATGAAAGAGAGACACCTCTTCGAGTTTTGCCGCTTTTGGAATACCCAGATCAATGATGCCTCTAGGACCAGTCAGAGGCAAAATGTTCCCTAGTGTAGACCAAGTATATTACGAGAATAGAGTAGATCGACCATTTCTCGCTGAGCTTTAATGAACTGGCTTGCTTGTTGACGGCATTTAAATATCTGCTTCCACATCCAAGATCCAGGCGAACCATTTGTAGGGGCTGGAGTTGCAGAGTGAGTTACCATGCTTGAGGTTTGCACGAATCCATCGGACCCAAAGGGAACTTGGTGCCATCAATATCCTCCACACAAGCTTAAGGACACATATCTCATTTACCTCACACATACTTTTTAAACCCAAGCCACCCTCTTCCCTTGGCTTACAAACCTCTTTCCATGAGATCTTTGCCCTTCTCGTGTTAAGATCAGGACCCAACCAGAGAAAAGCAGAGACCCAAACAATTGGCGCCCACCGTAGGGCCGGTTCGGTAATCGGCCAGAATGACATGACAAGTGATGATAGACAACCGACCTCA